TCGGCACTGGCATTCTATCCCTGATGGCAGGCCAGCCTGAGGGCGCAGTGGCGGCCGGGATTGGACACATAGCGATGCAGTTTTTCTCAACGCCTATAATGCTTGGTTGTATGGCCATGTTGATACCAGGTTTGACATTGGCTTTTGTTCTCCCGATGGTTCCCTATGTTATGTGGATGGCTGGCATCGCCAGTTGGCTCATTCTGGTGTGTGAAGCTGTTGTGGCAGCACCCTTATGGATGCTGGCGCACATGACACTTAATGGAGAAGGTCTGCATGGGAACGCACGTCAAGGCTATGCGCTCCTGTTTGATGTAGTGTTCAGACCGACCCTGATGCTGTTTGGCCTGTTTTTTGGCTACTTTGTGTTTGATGCCATGTCATGGCTGGTACATCAGACATTTGGTGTTGCAGCAGGATTTGCGCTCTCGCACGGTTGGCTGGTCAGCAACTTTCTGGGCATGCTCCTTTTGGTGTGGATGTTTGTACTGCTCCACATGATCCTCGCACTTGCATCGTTCAGATTGATCGCAATCATCCCGAACCGTGTTCCACAAATCCTTGGTTTTGGTGGTGGAGAGCGAATTGATGTTGATGCGTTTAGCAGGGATGTTGCTGCGGTTGGTATGGCCAGCGCAATGCAAAAATGCAACAATCCCTAGCACCTAGTCAAAATGAAAATCAAAACAATTCCGGACAGGTACAAAAACAATTGAACATAAAATTACTGGTGGCTTAGATACGACAATGAGAAAAAACTCTTCTTAATCGAAGGAGGCGGATATGGCAGGAAGCGACCTTAGCACATTTGGTGCCTTCATGTTGGGACAAGTAGCGGCAGACTCTTCTGCTGCTTTCCAGAGACAAATTGCATTTTTGAGAAACCGTGGGCGTACCCAATAGTAACGAAGATTATTGTCGTGTTCTTAAATTAGCAATCCGTGGCGAAGAAGTAGCAAAATTTCTTGATGGAAAACTAGACAGAATAAAGGAGGAATTGTCTGCTGAGAGAGAGAAATCAGCTCATTTGGAACGACAACTAGCTGCAGCAAATGCGTCAAACGATGAACTGAAACGACAACTTGAAGCTGAGAAAGCCCATGCCGTTATGCTTGATGATCGTTTGTTTGATCTGACTATGCGCCATGCCAGACTATGCAAGAAAACCAATACTAAGGATTCATAGGGCGCATAGCTGTTTCTTGTCGCATGATGAGGCCGCATCGTCAGATCCACCACAATGGAGAAGACAATGCGGTCTTATTTTTATCTTCCGATTGCCCTGATGTTAGCTTTGACAGCCTGTGATGGGGGAAACGTTGAATCCGCGTCCCGCGCCCATGGTCCGAAGCCTCCTAAGCTCCATAATTTGTATTATGAGCCCAACGGTGCTTACGGCTCTGCAAGAGCTATCTGGGCACCCCCAGTTTACAATCGCCAAGGCACGATTGTGAAACCTACGGATACACGTAACGACACCGGCCGGGAGGATTATGAACATTCGCCATGGGCGACAGGAGCAAGCGGTGGCGACCGGAACGCCCCACCAGGAACTTGGTAAATAAAAGGGCCGCTCTATTTGAGCGGCCCTTTCATTATGGGCAGTCGGGGAAAAATACTGTCTGCTCTATCCATGAATTGTCTGAAAGTTGCGATCTGTCCTGTCCGTAACTGCCAGTTGAGTGAGCAATTCCACAAAGAGACTGACCCCAGGAGGGCTAGGAAAGGCAAGAACGCAATAGAGGCAAGAAGTCGGTTGCCTGTCCATGGAAAAAAAATCATTTCTAGTGCCCACAACCCAAACAGCGCTGTTGCAATCAGTCCAGCACTATAGGCCCGAATAAAGGTCTCTTTCTGCCGTCTCATGATAACAAGTGCCAGATCTTGGTCACTCAGGTGACTATATGAGACAGCCTGACGAATGCTGGGCAATTGCCGGCCGACAACATCGGCCTGAGCAGGGCTGTCTAAAATCTCCTGCCCTTTGCCATTTACAGTCTCTTCGGGATTTGGCCGCGCAGATAACTTTAGAATTGTCCAAAGCAACCTGATGACATTGAAATTACTCATTATCCGCCGCCACCCAACAGCTTCCACTGGAGAGCCTGTGATGTGGGTGGCTACTTTAACCGAGGTCCGGATGATCCCTTTTTTCGCAGTCTGAGGCGGCGGGTTGTCTTTTTTGCTCATTTGCTCAGTTCCCGCACAAAGGACTCTTTATCAGTCGGGTTGCCCTCAAATCGGCCCAGTGACCCGTCTTTTTTGATCCATAGAAATGTTGGGGTTCCTTTCAAAGAGATACTCTTGGCAAAAGCCCCATTCGACTCAAGTTGGTCTGTTGCTTCAGCTGAAGGGGAGTCAGCCCGCTCATGTAAATGACCGTCGATCCAGGCGCGAACCATCTCCTGAGGCAAATAGGACAACATGGCCTTGGCATTGAGGGTGCTTTCACCGCGATCTTCATAATCAAGAACTGAAAGGGGCACGACTTTCAGATGAAGTTTACCAGACTGGACTAACGGCATAAGATTTTGAGCCGCCCGGATAGAGTACATGCACTGTGGATCTATCAACATCACTGCAGAGGGAGCAGAAGCTAAGCCCACGTCCCCACCATGCAAAGCAGCAAGAGCGGTTTGAGTAATCTGTGCATTGTCCATACGCACAGTGGGGACAGCTCCTGGGATGTGCTGGATCTGTTGTCGGGTGATATCCCGTCCAGATGCGTCCCAGAGCGAGCCTGCTATAGCAGCCTGAGCATCAGGCGTGGCATATATTACCTGGAAATGTGTCCCGTTCTGCAGAAACATCCCCCGGATACCTTGCCATGGTTCGATATCTGTTGCGCGCTTTCCTGAAAGGGATCGCAAAGTGTCATACGGCACTGGAATGGCTGTGCCGCCCAGTATGCTTTTCCGATCTTTAGGCATGAAATAAACAAAAACACGATCTGGGGTGTAAGCAACGCCGGTCTCGAAACCATGAAACTGGCCTTGTCCAGAAAGCTGAGCACCTGAACCTGTAAGGTGCTTTAGGGCATCTCCAGTATCAGGTGTGTTTTCGTGTTGAACAAGGGGCGGGGGTACCGCCGTGGCTGGAGATCCCGTTTTGCTATCAGTAGAGACTGCGCATTGTTGCGCCCAGGCGAACGTCGGAGCAACCAGCGTAACAGCAAGGGCAAGCGGATAGAAACGTAGCACGATATTCTCCCAACGTGATGTTGGGAGAAAATTTATCGGGTCAGGATGCGACCGAATGGTTTTTTTGCCTCTACTAAAATTAGAGAGAGCGCTGGATGGTATCCAATGTAGTGGTTCTGGTGTTACCTCAGGCAGGATAGGTCTTATAATCCTCAAGAAACGGGTAATTTGGCGTTTTTCAGGAGATGTAGCCTTACGTCTATGATATTTCACCGTCTCAATATGGTGTACCCATTGTTCTCTTGGAAAAGACAAAGTTAGGACAAGCGATGATCTTAGAATGGGGTGGGGGCAATCTGGTATCATCCGGCAAATATGTTGCTCCAAAAAAGACGATGGCTTCTCGAACGCATGTCGGTAAATCTTCCTTTGCCAGCGATGCAAGAGAAGAAAAACCCCTTGAGAATTCTTCGTGCATAAATGTTCTCCACGTGTCGCCAAAATGGGCCGACTATGCGCTATTTCCGTATTTCCTCGCTGGTTAGGTTATTACGGATAGTTATTGAGTAGGTCTTCAAATAAAACATTTCACGCAACGGAGAAAAACCCCCTTACACGAGACCGTGAAGGCTCAGCCTTTCCCAAAATTTAGTATGTGTCGCTTTTGTCACAATAGATCACGCTATCACCGTATTTTCTTTCTGTTCGGTCGCATCATTGGTTTGCATATTTCTTCCATAACGTGAGGAGGAGGAAATATGCTCGCTACGGTCGAAAATCATGATCCTGATTCAGATACGCAGGTAGGCGGTATTGCTGCTGATCGGTTGCGTTCAATTATAGAACGAGTTGAACGTCTTGAAGAAGAGCGCAAAGCGCTCGCAGCGGATATCAAGGACGTCTTCACTGAAGCAAAATCAGCCGGGTTTGACGTTAGAACCGTCAAACAGATTATTCGCCTGCGTAAGCAGGAGCCGGCTGAGATTGAAGAACAGGAAACACTTCTCGATATCTATCGGCGTGCTCTCAGTATGTGAGCTTGTCTTTCCATGCCCCGAACTGAGCTGATTAATCCTTAATATAGCAACCTGACCCGTAATACGGCCATCCTGGAGTTAAAGCCCAGGTCAGGAACTGATGCTGCGACACAGATTGTGCCTGAAAACCGCGACTGTACGGCCAATTCTTGTTTTGAACTGAAGGTTTGATTTGTGGACTTTCGGAATCCATCACTCAAGAATCCAGCGGGTGGCAGCAAGTGGAATTTGTTATTCCACGACTCCCTTTCGGTATCGGCCCAGTCCCGGTTTTCTGGGCATAAATGTCTGTTTTTGCACAAATAGTGGTGCTGTTTGTTGTGGAATCAGCCTCAAACATTTATGCCCTTGTGGTTGGTCGCATCTTGATTGTGCATCCTGTCGCATGACGAGCACATTGTGGGTGAGCCAACCAAAGGTCTCGTTTGCATCGGTTTTTCCTATTGAAAGGAAAAGATCGTGCAGTGAGGAATATGTAAGAGGCGATGGATAAGGGCAGCCAATGCGGCCTGGTCCGTCAGTATGACTGAGAGGAAGAATGAGCCATGACATAGTTTCCGCCAAAAACGACTGAGGCCCCGCTTTCGCGAGGCCTGCAGACACAAAAAACATTCCCAAGGGGATGTCGGAAAGAAAAATTAGTTTGGCGACAATTTTTCTCCGACATTTGCCGTAAAATTGCAAGTCTTTTCTTGCCATAGGGGATGTTTGTCCTGCGGGTCAGGAGCGCGACGGGGGTTTTGAACCCATTCGTCGGACAAAAAGAATAATGATAACAGAATGTTATGCCCGTTCTGCGGGTATCAGGAAAATCACGCCTGCCATGGTTGCTGCGCGTACAACAGCTGAGGCCTTACCGCTGCAGGCTGTGGAAATGAGCGACCTTTATCGCTATTTGCGTCAAGGACGGTCGATTCTCGGCCTGACATGCCAGCAGACAGAACTGCTCTGTTATCTGATCGCATTTACCCAACCTGCCGACTGGTCAGGTGAGGACGATGTTCTGCCCGTCTCGACGGCTTCCAATCTGGATATACAGCAACGCTTTGACCTCGGCCGCACCCGCGTCAAAACTCTGTTGCGCGAACTTGCCGAAGCTGGGTGGCTTCTCTACCGGGATAGTCCCAACGGACAGCGATACAGGCGATCAGGGCCATTTGCTCCAAGGGGACAGCAGGCTTACGGTTTTGATCTTTCTCCGCTCGCTCGCCGATTTGAGGATTTGGAACGCGCGGCACAAACGGCACTGTGGCGGCAACAGGAAGGTCGCCGTCTGCATCGCGAAGTCACGATGATTGCCAGGACTATCTATGCCCTTTTCCAGACGGCTGATGAGGCAGGGCTCACGGTAAAAGACAGACAACAGATACTCGCTCGCACCTCTGCATTGGTCGGTCAGCGTGGGACAGATCGCGATCCTCAATGGCTTGACCCGATATGCCAGGAGTTACGCCAGTTGCACGACCAGCTGGAGAGGGACATTTCGTATCTTCAAGAGGTCGAACATCAACCTGAGGAGACCAAAGCTTCTTCTCTTTTATCTGTGAAAAGTGACCCCATGGGGTCACCTGAACGACCCCAATATACTAATACAAATCCATCCACATTAGCTAAAGCTACTGTAAAAGCAGACGGCTTCGCCGAAAATTGCATTGAAGCTACGCGTAGTCGGCCGTCCTCGTCTTCCCGTGTCACAGAACATCAGGCACCACCCCCTTCTGCGGCGGATCCATTGAGGGGCTTCCGGGCCAAGCCGACATTCGTGCTGCATATTGCCCCGATTTTCCGTCAATATTGCAGTTCCGATAAGCCGGCCGAGACACAGATCATTCAGGCAGCGCTCTATGCGTGCGAACAACTGGGAATTTCCAGACATGCCTGGGCTCAGGGGCAAGCTGTATTTGGGGATTATCCGAATGCAGTTGTGATCGCCGCAATTGCAGCACGGACAGATGCAGGAGAAGTCCGTTCACCGGGAGGACTGCTCCGTGCGATGATTTCACGCTATCTGTCGGGTCAACTCGCACTGGATCGTACACTTTACGGGCTGGCGGAGAAATTGAAAAACGGCCCGACAGTTGTGCAGTAACCGCGGATCAGGTGTTTTCAGGCTCAAGCAAAAAAGGTGTTTTTGGTCGCATCATGCTCTGGTTGAGTCGTGATCGTAGGAGATCATACGATGCAGACGATAAGGGAGCTGTTTCCCCCTTCGCTCGGCACAACCGGGAGGACCGAGGGCACCATGCTTGAACCAACACGCTTTCCACGTGTCGAGCGTTATCGAGAGGAATTAGCAAATCTGACGTTTGAGCCAGTTTCTGCGGATATGACGTCTTTCTACAAGGTCCTGATCCGGGACGCGATGTGCGTCATGAGCGAACTTGATAGGCCAGATCGCAATCAGATGGCCGAAATAAGCTCTCTCACAACCCTACTTATTGAGGCGTGTGTGCCGGTGGAAATTTTCATGGATTTTCTTCAACGCCTTCATGAGGAACTGGATGAACCAATCCGTCCTATGGAAGGAGATGAATGATGCCTGTCACGGATCCCTATCTCTACCCTGGCACTGATGTTCTTATGAACAAAAAGGGCTATCAGAATGCAGAACGTCTTCGCATTTTTGAAACAACCCGATATCTAAGCCGTGCGATAACCATGCCCACGGATACCAACTCGACGTCCGCGCTTAAAGATTTGCATCATCATCTCTTTCAGGATGTCTACGACTGGGCTGGTCAATACCGGACCTGCGACCTCGCTGTTGATGGTCGGAAAGGTCTCCATCCCGACCGGATTTCCCAGTCAGTTCAAGGCGCATTCCAAAACCTGAAAGCCAATAATGGTTTGCGGGATCTCTCTTCTGACCGTTTTGCGCGGGGAGCTGCCACCCATATTGCCGCTTTGGATAAAATCCTGCCTTTTCGGCAAGGAAACCAGCAGGTCACCCTGCTTCATCTCTCACACCTTGCTCGGAACGCCGGCCATAATTTTGACCTCAGCCAGCTCGATCACGATCAATGGAACAGAGCCCGCGGCAAAGCGGCAGTCAATGACGAGCGTCTTATGATGCATGCTATCGCAACGTTATTTAAGTCTGGGCGAACAATGACGCCCGACCAGGCGCGTCGGGAAGCTCTGTCGCTCCGTGATCCAGCACGCCAGGAACTGCAATCCGGGATTGATGCGGCCACCAGAACACTGAACGCAGGCCAGGCAGATAGTGCCACGTTGAAAGAACTCAGGGGCTTACGGGGAGAACTGAAAGCTTTGGAAAGCGACACGCAGGTTGGCGCCGTTCTGCGTCATATCGATCAAGCCCAAAAGGCGGGCATTGAAAAGCTGACCGTTCTCCCCGGCCGCGACGGTTCTGCGCGTGACGCCATTTATGCCATCGGGCGGGCTGCCGTGCGTAGTCTTGACTTGCAGGACGATCAACGAGCAGTGCAAGGTATGAGTGCCGAACAGACACGATCACCTGCATCGTGGTTCAATCGGGCCAGCCAGAAACTTTCTGCGCCGGAAGAAACACCCCCTCAGCCAAATAGCCCAAAATCACGTGGCCCGCAGTTTGGCTAGTTCTTACTGAACCTAATCAGGCCGATGGCGTCTGATCACACGTTCTGCGTGATCTATCGCACGCTCCAGTTCCTCATAATTGATGGGAGCAAACGTGGGCGCCGGCTCTACCGGCCGGATGTCTACGTTCTCATCTGGAGGACAGGTTTCCTGACTTTCTTTTTTTCTCGGTCGCCCACGTTTTCTGCCTGGTTGGGGTCTTTTTGGGGGCCTGACGATCTCACGGAGAGGTTCCAGATCTTTCAGGGCGAACAGACGTCGGGCTGCGCGATGTGTGACTTCAACAATCAGCCCCATTTCCAGAAAACGTTCCAGATAGATGTAGGCAGCTTTCAGCGACAGGCCGAGCTCGGCTGAGAGGCGTGTTGCCGAGGCCACTGGATAGGCTGCGAGCAGATCTATGACCTTGTCAGCGCGCGAGGTACGACGTTGGCCACCTGATTTTAATCTGGCCTGACGCCAGCTTTGTTCCAGAGCCCGTGTGCGGTCCTCAACGGCTGCGACCTCCTCAGTCAGACAGTTCAGGAAATAAGGGAGCCATTCTGATGGGCTCCAAGGTGCTTCCGGTACGAAGGATCTGGCTCCAACAAGGGGAAGCGGAAAATGAAGAACATTGGTCAGGCGCCAGTGGCGGATCAAAGCGGCGCGCATCGGGGCACGAGCATGTCCTGCTTCTATCCAGGCATGAAAGGCGTGGGCAGAGCCAAGAAGAGGGCCTAATCTGACACTATGCTTGCTGAGCCAACCTGAAGCCTCTTCTATGGCGTTGCGTTGCGTATCCGTTGGCCTAACCAACCATTGATATTGCTCAAATGCAGCGTGGAGAGCGTCCACAGACGTTCCGCGTTCATAAATATCACATCCAAGTGGCACTGATCTCAAACCTTCCAGTTCCGCCGCCAACCGCCACGGATCTATGAGATGGCCATCGACTGCTGCACAGGCTCTTGCAGCTTCCAGCTGCTCCCGAAACAGGATTGCAGGGAGGAGAGGATGATGATACAGGCGCTGATCAAGTCTGCCGAAAGCCAATGCCGTCTGGGTGAGGCTTTCGTATAACTTTCCGTCAGAAGATTGAACTGAGGCTGTCCGGAACATGCTCAGACGCGGCGGGTTGCATCGTCGTAAACCTCACTGGTATCTCTGCATCCAGTGGCAATAACCAGCACTATGAGTTTCCCGTCATTAACCGGATACACTAGTCGGTATCCCGAAGCCCGAAGTTGATTTTATAGCAGCTTCTCAGGTCACCCGACAGTTCAGCTGATACAACATGAGGATCCCCCAGCCGTTTGGCCAGCGCCTATTTGAACTGGATCTTGATGCTTCCGTCCAGACTATCCCATTCGCGTTTGGCCCTCGGGTCGAAATGGAGCGCGTATCGGGTCACAGATCGTCCAATGAAACCGGAAGAGACGGTTCAGGCGAGGCAAGACGCTCTCGAACGACGGCAAGGAGCTCCAGACCGTCATCCGATACAACAGTGCGCCGGACAGGGAGCTTGCCAGTAGCGACGACATATTCAAAGGTCTGGCGGATGAGATCTGAGGGTGTCACGCCGAGTTCTGACAGACGATCGTATGCAGCTTTCTTCAGACTGTCATCGATGCACAGGTTAATTGAAGCCATGATGTGTCCTCCAACAAACAAATAGACATCATGATCTTCACTGATTTACAAGCTGTTACACAGTGCGATCAAGGTTGGTAATATGAACGCAAGTGGCTTTACGAACAGCATGAGGTTGTTCATGGCTGGCTTTGTTGGGATATCCGGTGCTTAAGGCCCATCTCAGGTCGTTATGCACTATCATGATGATTTCCAGTCATGGTTACTGCACACTGCTTCCTGTCATACATAAGTCGGACCATAGACCCGGAACAATTCACCTTCTTGATACGAGATTTAAAAACGCAAATTATCGACAAAAAACCTTTACCAATCCAGATGGTAAACTGGAAAAGCGTAAGCGCCATAGACAAGCTTGCAGCAAGGCCTTCCCAGATTTTGGCTTGTCGTTGCTCTTAGCTTAGTTTTTGGTCAACGTGCGTGCCATAACGGCCTGGCAATGTGCATCAAGAGCCATATCGTTCGGATTTTTCGGATCGAGCTGGTGTTTGAATACACATTCAGGATGGGCATTTTCATAGGTGAAAAGCGACCACCCCATCAAGAATGTGGCAAATAACCCAACAATCTGTGCTATGGTTATCCATCGCATGACTGCTCTACGTCCGTTTGCGTTTTTGATCGCGTCAATCGAACGCTCATAGTATTGTTGTCGGATAAATGCTTTGACTTCGGTTGTGGCGTGTTTGTCATCCAGTTTTTCTTGTCTCAGAAGATCTATCCAAAAATTTTCAAGTTTGATTTCCGGCTCGTTAAGACCGTAATTGGGCAGCCTGCCTGGCAGGCACTTCCATATTTCAAAGAAGATAAAGGCTCCCATGCCGACTAAGCCAAGGGCTGAGGCCTGTCCGATCCTGTTTGCTACGGGACTGACAAATTGAGCGCCGCTGTGCGAGGCCGTAAAGCTTACCACGCCCGCGATGATAAACCATCCTAGGGCGACACTGGGAGGTAACAACGGCTTTTGCAACGTCTCAAATGTTTGCTCCCGTATCTCCATTAGTTCCTTGAGATATGTGTCGGATAACTCCGCAGCCTTTGGATACTCGGCTACTTTGCTAGTCCAGTCACCTGCACTTTTCGATAAATCCGGCCTGCCTCCAAAAACATGAGTGAGGAGAAAATGGGCTGTCGCCGTCATGACGCGCTTTAACATAAATTGTTGTTTTCCTCTTAATGAAATAAGACTTGCATTGTCCGGCGCTCTTTACATCGTAAGTCTCTACAGAGATCCGCTGGCGTAATTAGGCTTCTGTTCAATCGGCCCGCTGCGGTAGCACGCCTACTGAGACGCGGGGGGCTGGGATGCCAATGCCCTTCGGGATGTCGTCAGGGATTATGTGATCGAACACCTGGGCCCTGAAGATGGCATGCTGGTCATCGATGAGACCATTTTTTTACAGCAGGCCCACGTACCCGATGACGTGGTGTTTGCAACCAAACCAGCGTGAGCCATTGATGATTCTCAAGTGGTGTTATCCATTCGCTGGGTTGCAGTAGACAGGGCGTATGGCGCCGGCATGTCTCTCCGGTCATGCTCGCCTGTGCCATCGTGGCAAGTGTGCAGTATCAGGCAAACTTACTGAAACCAAAAAAAACACAGCACAGAAGACGATAACCTTCGTCAGCTGATCTATTCAGAAAATCAGGAGCCTCATCGTAAAACTTGCATAATGCAAAGTATCCGTTGCTCACATCCTCAGATGGTCAGTCTTCCGACGAACACATCAGGCCGACGCCAAACGATCTCATTCACGCCCTAAAATCCAACTGTAGTGCTAGAAATCAGTTACAAAACGAGGGTCTGGAAAAGGAGTAATTGTTGTATGCATAAAATTGATTTTATCATCTTGAGTAAAAATATCCATAGGTACTCCTAGTTTATCACACATGTTCCAGTCGATTGATGACTCTGCCACAGGTGGAACGTATAACGTAGAATAACTACGAAGTGGGACAGTATGAAGATTTTCCAACGAACAACGAAAAATGCTAGGTGTTTGGAGAGCATTTTGTGCTGCGTGATAGACATATACAATGTGATTTTTCGGATAATCTTTATATAATCGCGTCAACAAAATGTCCAAACTTGTCCTCTTTACCGTTAGATCTGGTATCAGGTTTCCAAGTTCTCCTACTTGCCAAAGTACTAAGGCAGATGTTGCATCTATTATTTTGCCGCGTACAAGAAAATCTGTGCATTCGTAGCTTTGACAGCCAGATCTAGCGGGATCGACACAGAGGTCAGCGAAGAGGCAGTCTTCTGCTGATACTGCAGCAAGCATAGACGCAGTGTGGCCGTTAGTCCGCGCGCGTAGAATTGCTTCATGAGAAGGAAGAACAAAAACACCAGGGTGACCGTAAAAAATAGCGCAAACATTATCGTGGTCTTCCAAAGACGATACAATAAGATTCGCCATCGCATCATATGTCAACAACCTAACCTTATCCGAAGAATACTGTTCAGATAAGTTAACAGTGTTGGGATGCATTTTTGTAATTTGGTGTGAAACGACAGGGTCGTCGACTGCATAAAATACGATATCTGCGCTTTGAACAACAGACCGCGCTTGAAGGCTAAATTGCCCGCTCCCACCGACACCCGTGCCAACTACGTATAGATCGGACATGAATTGTTTCCTGCAAAAGACAAATATTTAAACCATATATGTTTGCGGTTATTCATACGAAAATAAACCGCCAGAGGAATATCCCCTGACGGCCTCTTTGATCATGCGGCGGTTCGGAAAACCGGCGCGAGGATCGAAACTACGATCTTTGCAAGTGGACGTCCGTCCAGGCGCAAATCTTGTTGGAGTTTTTCCTGATTAGTCTCGGCAAGGTACGTCGCATCCGCCCTGCTGAGACCATGGGCCATGGCTGTCGCAATTGGCTCACTTCCGAAACGGCGCGCAAGAGCAACGTCTTCGCTCAAAGCAACAGCGAAATTCTTGATATTGTCCATCACAATAGCCTCCTAGGTTAAGGAATATGGCACCCCGGAATCGTGTGCCATAATTACTCCACCACGGAATCATATTCCTATTAAACAGAAATAAATTTATATTTTATCACAATTATGTCACAATAGAGTCAATCTTGAACATTACTGATGCATTGATGGAGAAAACGATGAATCTAAAACGTGATGATGATCTGCTTCAATCGGAACAAATGATGTTCCCATGGCCGAACAGGAGATAGAAGCAGGGTAGAACAACAAGCGTAAACAGTGTTCCAATTGCGAGGCCGCCCGCAAGAACTAGCCCCATGACGAAGCGCGATGAGGCTCCGGCGCCAGATGCTGCAAGCAACGGTAACACGCCTAGGATCATGGCTGCGGTCGTCATTAATATCGGTCGCAGCCGCATAAGAGCGGCGTGCTCGATAGCCGCTCGCTTGGACATGCCTCGGTCCCGGCTCTCATTGGCAACCTCGACCATGAGAATTCCGTGCTTGCTGATTAGTCCCGCCAGCGTCACGAGACCGATCTCACTGTAAAGATTGATGGATGCACCTTTCATTCCGAGCCAGAGAAGAAGCAACGCGCCTCCTACGGACATGGGCACTGTGACTAGGATGATGAGAGCGTCACGAAAACTGCCAAACTGGGCGGCAAGAGCGAGGAAGATAACGAGAATTCCGAAGCCAAAACTAGGAAGAAAAGAACCCCGTTCCGTCAGGTAATCTCGCAGTGATCCCGTCGTGTCCGTCGCATACCCACCTGGTAGGCGTGAGTTAGCGAAATGAGCAAGCCAGGAGTACGCTTTATCGACGGAGATGCCTGGAGCCGGTACCCCGAAGCGTTGTGGAATTGAGCTGCTGGAAATGAGCAATCTGCTCGGGCACGACCTGATGTGTCAGGTGTGCGATCGACGACAGCGGGATCGGAATCGCCGGTCCGCTTTGCGGATGTGTATAGGCTATCGGATAGTCGAGAATCTGCTCGGCGTTCAGGCGCTGCCCGCGCGTGACGAGCGGCATGACGCGATACGACCGTTGGTCTCGGCTGAAATAATTCACATAACTGCCGCCGAGCAGCCAGTTCAGGCTGTTGCCGACATCCGATACATTCAGACCGAGTTCCGCGAGCTTCGACCGATCCAGGACGAGCGTCGTCTGGGGCTGGTCGATGAGCAGGTCGTTGTCGATATAGGCGAACAGCCCGCTTCGTCGCGCTTCTGTCACTATCTCTTTACTCACGGAGGCCAGTTCGTCAGTGGAACGAGTGCCCTTGATAACAAATTGAATCGGCATCCCTGTCCCACCGGGGAGTGCGGGAAGCTGGAAAACGCCATATTGTAGCCCTGTAATATTGTCGAGCTTGGATTGAAGGGTCTGTTGAATGCTCGTGCTTGACCGACTTCTCTTATGCCAGTCCTGAAGCACAATACCGGCTTGTTGCTCTCGCGGAGCATCCACGATCCAGAAATCCTCCATTTCCGGGATACCTTTGAAAGCATCGAGCACAGGAGGATCGTATTTCTCGACGTAATCGAGTGTTGTCGAGGGGGGGGCCTGCCCCGCAACGACAATGATTCCCTGATCCTCGGCAGGGGCAAGCTCATGGGTCGCACCGCGGTAGAACATCACGGACGCTCCGAGAACCACGCAGGCCAACACGATTCCGGCGGGCCAGAACCGAAGGACGATCCGCAGCACCTTTGCATAGGCGCGGTGCATAAGGCCAAGCGCCAGATCGCTGAACTTCACCCAACGCGGAGCGGTCGCGTCATGTGGCCGCAACAGCGTTGCGCACATCATGGGCGACAACACGAGCGCCAGAACGGCCGAGACCGTGACGCTTGCTGCCAAGGTAAACGCGAACTCTGTGAAGAGTGCGCCGGTTATTCCCTTTTGCAGGCCGATCGGCACGTAGGCCGCAACCAGGACGACCGTCATTGCAACAATGGGCCGCCCCAGTTCACGGGCCGCCTTCAAGGCGGCATCGATTGGTTTCTCGCCTATGGCCAGATGCCGGTTAACGTTTTCAACGACGATGATCGCGTCATCCACCACCAATCCTGTGGCCAGCACAAGAGCGAGCAGGGTCAGGGAATTGATCGAAAATCCCATCAAGCCCATAAGCGCGACAGTTCCAATGAGCGAGAGCGGAATGGTCACAAGCGGGATGAGAACCGAACGGAACGAACCGAGGAAGAGGAAGATCACGCCAGTCACGATTGCTATCGCTTCCAGCAGTGTCAGGATTACCTCGTGCAGGGATGCCCGCACAAAATCCGACAGGTCGAAAATCACCTTTGTCCGGATGTTCGGGGGAAGGTGCGCGGAGATGTGGGAGAGCACGTCATGCAGTCGATCGCAGGTTGCGATCAGGTTTGCCCCGGGGGCGAGGGTAACGCGGATGAACGCGCCGCTCCCGAGCGGATTTGTGATGCGCACTTCCGTCATCTCGGGGCCGTACTCGACTTTCGCGACATCACCCAGCCTTATGAGCGCCGAACCCCGCTGCGCAACGACCAGTTGTCTGAACTGTTCCTCGGTATGCAGGCTGCTGGTGACGGCGAGATCAACCGACGTCATACCGCCTAGCGTCTGTCCGATACCGGTCACATAGTCATTCTGTGCTAACGCGGTCGCCACGTCGTTCGCTGTCAGGCCATATCCGGCAAGACGCTTGGCATCGAACCAGACGCGCAGTGCCATATTGGCCTGCGTCATATCCGTCGCCTGAAGCACGCCAGGGACGGACTGGAGTTGCGGCAGCACCACCCGCGCCGTGTAATCGGCCACCTGTTCAAGACGCAGCGATTTGCTGGAAACCGCGATATACATCGCGGACCCTTCATTGTTCGACATTGTGATGACAGGCTGCTGCGTTCCCGCCGGAAACTTGTTAGCAATGGCGGAAACGTAAGCCTGCACCTGCGCGATTGCCTGCTTAGGATCTTTATTGAGCTTCAGGTGAAGCGTGACGGTGCTTATACTCGTCTGGCTCGAAGAAGAGATGTAGTCCACCCCGTCGGTGGCCGCTACCGCGCCTTCTATGGGCGTCGTGATGAAGCCCGCGACAGTGCCGGCATCCGCACCGTAATACGTAGTCAGAACCTGAATAGTCGCGCTAACCGTTTGCGGGAAGCTTTGAATCGGTAAACCTAGGACCGTCCTCAGTCCTGCGACGAGAAGGAATATGCAGAACACGATCGACAGGACCGGTCGGCGAATGAAGAGATCGGTAACGGACATGGGGGCACTCACTCCTCGGGCGGGGCTGGCGTGGCGCTTGAATCTGGCTCAATCGCGTTATTCTCGTGGATTGGCGCCCCCTCGTAGAGCTTCATCTGGCCGGACGTGACGATCTTCTCGCCCTCCTTGAGTCCCGAGATCACCTCCACCAGATCACCCCGGCTCTGCCCGATCCCGATCCCCTGCTGATGCGCGTGCAAGGCGTTACCTTTGGCGTCGCGGACGGCCAGCCAGATGCTGTTCCCCGATGTGGCGTACTGAACGGCCACGCGCGGCACGACGACGGTCGCCTTCGCGGCTTCATAGCTGGTCGTGACCCGTGCGAACGCACCAGGCACCAGGGCGTGGTCCGGATTGGCGAGTTGGGCCCGCACGAGAACCGTGCGGCTCTGTGTATCCACCTGCGGAGTAATGGCCGTCACGACACCTGCGAACGCCCGACCAGGCCACGCATCGACCTGTACCGACACGGTATTTCCGTTCGCAATATGCGGAGACAGATTCTGGGGCACATAGAAATCGACATAGATCGGGTCCAGGGATTGCAACGTAACAACGGCCGTCCCCGGCACCAGATATTGTCCGGGATCGATCCGGCGGACACCAAGACGGCCCGCAAAAGGCGCACGCAATTCCTTCGTCGCGATGATGCCCTCTTCGGAGCGCATATGCGCCCGGTCCGCCTCCATCGTCAGCCGGTCCCTGTCGACGATCGCCTTGCTGACGGCGTTAACCTGAAACTGCTTCGTATCACGGTTGAAATTGATCTCGTCCAGCGCGGCCTGTGCGCGGTACTGGTCGAGTAGACCGGGCTCGTCGTTCAGTTGCAGCCGTGCCAGCACGGTGCCTTTCTGAACATCCTCCCCCGAATGAAACATGATCTCGGAGACGATACCGGCGGTCTGGAAGGATAAATCCGTTCCCCAACGCGCTCTGAGATTGCCGACGGCTTCGATTTGCGGCTGCCAGTGCCCGATCCCGACTGTGGCAGTCGATACCGATTGCGGCGCTTCCTGCGCCCGTGCGGCGTAACAGCCGTTCATGACAGCGACGAGCATCGCAAACGCGATGGAGCGAAAACGGGAGGTGCGGATCATGATTTGCTCCAAGGCATCAGGGAGTCGAAGACGCCGGGAGGAGGTGGTGGAACGTCTTGGCGGTTCCACCACCCCCCACCGAGGGCGACGAGCAGGGCGCTGGTGTCACTCAGGCGCGCGGCTCTTGCCTGCACAAGAGCAATCGCCGCCTGCTGGTAAATGATTTCGCTACTAAGGACGGTGAGATAGGACACGCCGCCCAGCCGGTACTGTCTCCGTGCCAGATCAAGCGCCCGTGCAGCAGCCTGCTCGGTGAGCAGGTTCGCGGAGAGCTGGCGGCTGTCATTCTGGATTTGCATCAGGGCATTCGCGACGTCCTGGAACGCGCCCACCACCGTGCTTTGCCATTGGGCGGCATAGTCCCGCATCGTGGCGACAGCCGCGCGCTGCTGGTGGAGCAAATTGCCACCTTCGAAGATTGGCATGGTAACTTGCGTCGTCAGCGTTGCCAGTCCGTTGCCGGGGGTCATCAATTGCCCGGCCCGGGCAGCTTGGGAGCCGAGGTCACCCGTCAACGTGAACTGTGGCAGCCGGTTCGCGATTGCCACGCCGACTGCCGCCGTCGCGGCATGAAGATTGCCGTCCGCCTGGCGAATGTCGGGGCGATGCCTGACGAGATCGGATGGGAGCGCGACTGGCACTTCAGTCGGTAACGTGAGATCGGAGAGATCGAATTGCGGCAGCGCAGCATCCGCTGGCAGCGCCCCGAGATAGGCTGCCATCGCGTTGCGCGCTTGTGCGAGACTGTTCTCCATTTGAGGCAGTTCCGCCTCCTGCTGCGCCAGTTGAGCTTCCTGAAGGGCAACGTCCGTGCCGTTCGCTCCTCCCAGTGAGAATTGCTGTTGCAACATCATGAGGTAATCACGTTCTATGGCGATCAGCCGCATCTGTGCTGCGATCTGCCCTCGTAAGGATGCTTCGTTAATCGCGGTCGCGACCACGTTCCCGGTCAGCGTCAGCAGCACGGCCTCGAAATAGGCACGCTGATAATCGGCCTCAGCCTCCTGTTGCTCGATCAGCCGTCTCGTTTTGCCCCAGACATCGAAATTGTAACTTAGCCCTAAATGGGCATCATAATAGCCGTAGCTCATGCTGGTATTCGGCTGGCCACTCGGCGCAAAAGGGAAGTTACCGCGTGTTCTGGCGAAGGTGCCGCCGACTGCTGGCAGCAGGCCGCTATATTGCGCAAGTGTCAATTCCTGCGCGTTGCGAAGCGCCTGCCGGGCAGATTCGAGATTGGGGTTATTTCGGATCGCCAACGCGACCAGACGTGTCAGAGGCTCGGAACGATAGAGCGCCCACCAGTCCCCGGGAATGTCCTGCCCTGGGTTGAGATGCTGGGAGCCTCCGTGGGCGACCGGTGCCGACACCGTGTGTTCCGGCAAGGCAGTTTCCGTATAACGGTTCGGCAGCGCCCGCTCGGGAGTCTTGTAATTTGGTCCCACAGCACAGCCACTCGCGCTCAACACGAGGATGACGCAGCAAGCTACTGCATGATGCGACCAGAGCACACGGAAAGTCTGGAAGCGCGACGCCCGGCTGGCGCTCCCGTATTTCGTTTCCATATCGGAATTATACCTTCATATCTCGGGCGTTCGCGCGACCGCGCGTCATCATCGACCGATCAGGCAAGTTCAGGGAGGAGGCAGCTTAACTCGCTTCGCGCAGGTCGAAGTCGCTGTCCTCATCCGGCACATATTCCAGAAGGTCGCCCGGCTGGCATTGAAGGTACTTGCAGATCGCTTCAAGGGTCGAGAACCGGATACCTTTGACCTTACCGGATTTGATGGAGGAAAGGTTGGGCTCCGTAATGCCGACAGCGCGTGCCAAAACGTTAGACTTCACCTTTCGTTTCACGAGCATCATGTCGAGATGGAGGATGATCGGCATCAGATATAATCCTTCTGTTCTTCTTGAATGCGGTTCCCGATTTGCATGACATACGTCACAGCAAGCAGAATTATTCCTAGAAAAAAAGCATCTATTTGCTGCATATCGTAAGAAATAAGTTCGGGGAACAAACCAAGAAGATACATAATAGGGTGCGTAATCAGACTAATACATGAATAGGCGAGAACTGAATATGAAATATTACGTATCTCACTCGTTGTGGCGAAAGTAAATACTTCTCCTCTAGCATATAGATTGAAGAGTTTGTACAGGAAAAGTAAAATAAGAAGTCCAGGAAGAAAACGCAGTAAGAAGATTGGCGCTCCCACGGTGGTGGTCAATATCGGAAGTTTGTAGGCCGGCACGAAATGTTGACCTGTCATTTCGGTGGTCGGTGTGCCGATAACAGCTAGGAACGAAAGTCGTTGACCTACTGTTCCGGCCACGACATAGGCTGAGTTCCGCAATAGCAACGCCATAGCACCTGTTGCAACCAAGGTGGAACTAATTGCAAGCATCGCAAAGAACACAGCTCGGAGCAGCTTTGCGTAACCGTACAAGCGCCTCTCAGCCTCTCTCGGGGGTGGAGCAAGAAGCGGCTCATCTTCGTCAGGTCTAGTAAAAGGTACAACAGTCATAAAATTACCCCCAAATAGGATATTCGTTATCTTACAGATAAATATGTTATCGTAAAGCAGTAATTTTAATTGTCAGATTGCGTCATTTCCGACCCCAACTTTCTAATGAAAAGCAATTTAGAGCGGTTCCACTGAAATCAGAATTATCTGGTGATATAGAAGACTCATTGTGATTCACCGCTTCCATTGATGGAGGCGTTGATGGCACGAGCATTGAGAGATGATCTTCAGAAGCGGGTTGTGGAAGCTGGGACTGCTGCAGCATCAGCCCGCCCGATAGCAGCGCGGTTCGGTGTCGGGAGTTCGACAGCGATCCTCTGACTGCATCGAGACCGCGAAAGTGGTGAGCGGACGCCGCGTCGCCAGAGCCAGCTGCGCGGATCACGGCTGGACGAGCACTAAGCGATTATTGTCGGCATGATTGAAATATCACGCTTAACAAGATGATAGCGCGTCTGGCAAGCGAATGTAATGTTAAGATCGTGCGCAGCATGCTCTACCGATGAGTGGAAAAGCAGAATATGCTGGTCTATTGAATCGTTTTCCGATTGCTACATCGGATATGCGAAAGATATTATTCTTTAGACACATCGAAAGTTCTGAACGACAAGCCCACGGACGTGGGTGAATGCCTGATCGCTGGTTACCAAAGTCAGATGACACGTCAAAGCATGTGCCGCGATCATTAGATCCAACGAACCAAGGATTTCACCGCGGCGCTCTTGTGCAGCACGTAATTTTCCATAGTGCTCTGCCACCTCAGTGTCCCAAGGAAGTGTAATCAGTCGATCCATGACACTGCGTGTCAAGCGTTGTAATCGGGTCGCCAATGGACGCTTGGCCAGTCCATAGGCAACCTCTGCGGCTGTTATGGCTGAGACACAACACTGTTCGGGATCAAGGGCTTCGACGTGGGAGAGCACTCTATCGTCAGCGCGTATGATATCACTGATTGTATTGGTATCGAACATATAAGCAATCACGGCACGGATCCAGCAAAAGGATCCCGATCTTGTTGCACCTGACCCCGCCCTTCGGGGAAAAGTTCAGCCCCTTTGGCCTGCCGAATGGCAGAGAGTGTCTCACCCCAGCCCACAGGACGCGGTGAGAGAATGACATCTCCTGTGCGTGGATCTCTGCGGATGGTGACCTCTGATGTGTCAAAGCGGTAGGCAGCAGGGAGACGAACGGCCTGGCTGCGACCGGTCATAAAAATTTTGGCTACATCTGACATACTCACCTCCACGCAATATGTATCAATGATATATATCATTGAGCTTCGAACACTTCAACATGAAACGATAATTCTGAACGTAAAATTACTCTATTTTGCATATAACTTCAAACTACGTCTTTTTATGGAAAACAGCCCCCTTTCCCAAATCTACTTGCGTTAATCCCATTTATCGCAAGTAGGTGGGCGCACGGAAAAGGAGGTTTGTGTTGTCGAAATTCCTTAATTAGGTGAATCCCGGCTTCCACGCCGCCAAACCACACCAAAAGTAACCTTAATTAGGTGAAAAAATTCCTTAATTAAGTTACAAGCCAAACGGTGCAGTGACGATCTGTCGGCCCCATGATCTTACTTTCGGATGCAGCCACATCACATAGCTCTCTGGCGTAAGTAGTTCACAGGCAATCTGACATCCTGAAGGATCCCAGAAAACGCGGTCTTCAAGAAACTGGTGGTCGGACAATATTACCGAAGCAAGCACGATAATGCTGGCTGCCAGAGAAACTGGCAGCATGGCCGGTGTATAACGGAACGAGGCTTTCCAGTCCGGCTGCTCCAGCATCCAGCAAAGCGGCGGTTGAGGTTTTGGAAGATGATTGATCGTGATCAGTATCATCAGCGTAAGTTCTTCAACAATTGTCGTCAGACAGCGTTCTCTGCTGACACCACGCCATTGTGCGCGAAGTGTCTGCCCAACAAGGCTGCGACTGAGATCCATGCTCAGAGCTTTCACGCACCGTAACATTGTTCTGTCTGCTGTCAGACCCCAAGGAAGCTGATCATCTGGTGCTCTTCCCCACAAACTAATTTTGTCACCTTTGACAGCGCACAGCGGCTGCATCCGTCCTTTGTCACTGAGAAAAAGACACCCCTTATCTATCTTGTTGCATCGTGGACAGACCTCTTCCAGAAGTCGTCGATGATGCTCGCAGAACACAGTCGCCCCTGTTCGCCACACCCGCCGCTCCCAGGGCTCATCTCCCTTTAGCAGATCTTCCCGTACACACTGCCGACACCATACGGGATGATCTCGAACCCATAGACGTGCTTGTGGCCTAGCACATCGCATCGTCTTGATTGAGCGATGAGATAGACCTGTCATGTCTACAAGGGCACGATCCGCCTGGTTCAGCAGATAACAGTCCAGTTCCCTTGCCCCTCGGAGAGGATATCCGGCATGAACAGCAAGGTGATCGGCACGGAGATCGTAGCGGGCAGCCAGTCTGGCTAGCCACGAGGAAAACACTTCTGCTCTGTGTGGAAACGGAATGATTGGGAGGGATGACGGTGTTCCCTCTTTAGCCAAGGCGAGATTTCCTTCGATGTCCCGCCATCAACACAGGTGCTTCAATACCGTCCCAAACTTCTGCGTGCTCGAAAGCCTGATAATCCAGACGTTCTGCTCCAGAACGAATAGCCATGATGGCGGCACGTTCAATCGCCTTGCATGTGCCGAGAGTAATACCTCCTGTGCGCCCGATCAGCATCTTCATTAACCGTCGGGAGTCGACAGGCGACGGTTCTCGTAACGGCAGGCTCCATACCAACCTTGTCACGAAATGACTGAAGTCCTCACCATTTTCCCATGCAGGAAGTTCCAAATTCATAAAACGGTTTCGTAATTGATCATCAGAAAGCAAAGCGTGCCGGGTTTCCGGTACACCAATCCCCACCAGAGCAACCCGTAACTCGTTCGACAGCCAGCGCAGCAATTGCAGAAACAATCGTTGCTGACGGGCCGTACCCCGCTAAAACAGAATTCATCTCGTCAATAACAATGACTTTAGCCTGCACTTCGGCCAACACACGCAGAACCGTTGACTCGCGTGGGGCTGTTCTCTCGAAGCTGTCGATTGTGGGAACGCCGATTGCTTTGAGCAACTGTGCAAAAAAGCGAGGTCCTGTTGGGTCATGTGGCATTAGCATGACGACTATGGGATGTAGGCGGCATGTCCCGCTATTCCCAACTCTGACAGTGTGGGTGCGTTCGAACTTCCGGACAAGCGTCGTTTTCCCCATGCCACTATGGCCGATCAGAAGCATATTTTCCATACGCTCTGATCGTGGTTGGGCGTAAATCTCATTGAGGCGCCTCATTACGCGGTCAGCATGGGGGTAATCCACCCAACGCTTGGCGCGGATATGGCGGATCCTCTCTTCGCTCCCCAATGCAGCAAGTGGTCTTACGTCTTCTGGAAGATGCAACCATTCTGCAGGGCACATGATTACCAGATCTCCACACCGCTATGAGCGCCTGGTGGCGGCATCGGGATACGGTCTGCATCCTCTTCTGCTTGCCCCAGCAGGAAATGGTTCTGGTGCACTGCCAGCATGTCTGTGGGCCACTTCACGACGAACGACACTCCTGCGTGCCTCACGGCTCTGACCGCGCGCTTCCTCAAGAATAGCGCGTTGTTCCCGAATGGCGGTAAAAATTGAGGTTTCATCTACACTGCGACGCCCCTCATCTTTCAGACGGCGAACCGCCGTACGATGTTCCCACAGAGTAATAGGTTCGCGACGTAAATCTGCGTATGGAACTCTGACATGGTCGCCATCAGGCAGTTCGACATAAACAGAGGAAAGATTACGGGGATCGTATTTCACTCGCAAACGCGTATCGGGACGCCCAAGCAGATGTGCAAGGCCTCCATCTTGGTATTGGATATTGAATAACCGAACACCATCGCGTCGTATCACCCGTGTTTCATAGGGAAGAAAATCAAGAAGAAAGGCCTGGGCATCCAAAGGATATCGGGAAGCAGCTGTTTCGATGCTCGACGTCCATTTTGCTATAGGAGGC